GTCCGCATTTCCCACCCACTCACCCACCCACTTCCTGGGGCAGCCTCCTCTGGAACCGTCAGACCCTCTCGAGCAGAAACAAGGATGAGGTGGGGGTGAAAAAGAACCTGGAGCACTTGTAGGTGATGGGAAATGCCCTGCACCTGCCAGGTCCTCCCCAGCTAGCTGGGAGTACTCCCTGGAGCTTCCTCCTGCCTCCTTTCCACCCCCAGGCCTCCCACTACAGACAGCACAGGCCTGGCCGTGGTCAGGTTCTCACCCAGGTGGGGCTACGAGTTCTGATCTGGGTCCCTGAGCAGCTACTGATTCTTCCCCAGGGAGCTCGGCTGGTTCCCTTGCTTCTTGGGGTCTGGGAGAGTCTGGGGTACTCCTGAATCCAAGTGAGTTCCCTCCAGACTGAGCTCCTCGAGGGCAAGAGCGTGTCCCAGCACCCAGCACACACCCGGCACATAGTAAGAGCCTCATAAGGACACTTCTCTGGAGCTCACCACGTGCCAGGCACTGTTCTAGGAGCTTTACAAAGGTTACTCATTTAATCCGCGCCACACCCCTGCAAGGTAGGTACTGTGATGGTCTGCATTTTACGGGTGAGGCACAGAGGGGAAAGTGCCTTGCCCAAGGCAGCACAACAGTCAGAGCTGCAGGTGGGATTCGAACCCAGCAGTCTGGCTCCCGTCATGCTCTCCCACTGGTCAATGTGCATTTGTTAGATGGACTGAGCTCAGGGGGTGAGCGGACATCCCTGAGGCCACCAATGAGTGAGGGCAGACCTGGGACCAGACTCCCCAGGCCAGAACAGCCTTGGGGGCCTGAGGTCCGTGGGTCCCCGCACTCCCGCAGGCGTGGGTGATTGTTCCAGGGTGAGCTCCATTTCTTCTCAGGGGTTTGGTGGTCCCTGGGGTCCTGCTGATGGTAGACCAAAGCAGTCTCCTGGGAGTCTTTCCCCAAAGCCTGGGAGAACCTTCTTTTGCTTCCTTCAAAGTCATCCCGGATGGGGCAGCTTTAGCCCACACTGTGGATGGGGTGAACATTAGTATGTATGAAAGGATGCAGGGGCAGGAAGCACCAGGAGTGGACAGAGGAGATCTGGGGGGTGGGGTGTATATGATGAAGTCTTGAGGGGCACCCTTGACTTTTCCCACTCTGAGGGGAGACAAGGTGGCTGGGGTTGCACTGGGGTCAAAGCCGGAAGCACCTCATTGTGTGGGGGTGGGGGCTTCCAGTCTTCTTACCAACCTGACCGCTAAAGGCCATGGACTGAGGGGTGCAGGAAGCAGACATGCACAGGCTGGGGGCAAAGAAGGGGGAGAATGGAGCTGGTCACGTGCGTTGTTGCTTTCTTAATGGGAAAAGAGAAGCTGGAGTTAGCCTTGGGGACCCGTCTGGAAGCAGGAGTGCGGGAGACCAGCTGGGCCAAAGCAGCCGATGAGGGGGTGGTCCCAGGTGGCTCAGGAGCACTTGAGTTGGGGAGGAGACTGAAGGAGCTCTTGTCCCCCAGCCCAGAAAGGCAGTTAACAGGTTCGCAAGTTATCCAACCTCTGCTCTTCAGTTCAGAACACTGGCCATTTGTTTGGCTGATAGCATCTGACCTGACCACGGGGTAGTGTCTTCATTAAAACCCCAAACTTTGTCTGGACTCATTAGCCTAATGAAGCTCACTCGATCTTCTCCGGTTGTACATCTTACTCTCATGGGGCTCAACTAACATGTGAGTAATGGAGACTTTTGCAGAGGGGCCTGGTGGATGGGGCTCTCAGGCCTGGGGTGTCAGAGTATGGTTTCTTCAAGCGGAGGGGATCATGCCCACTGATCCCAAACAGACTGGAATGTGCAATGCCTAGAATTCTTCTGAGGTCCAGGAGAAACCTTCCCGAGGAAATGCTGTGGGATGGGCATGTGTGTGAGAGCTCACTGGCACTGTTTAAGGAACTAAGTTGAGTTGTTTTCTAAATTTGATGTCATGGCACTATTTCTTCAAAGGAAATATGATCCCAAACTGCAACATAGAAAACAAATAAAAGGGAAACTAGATCCTGGAAGGTCCCCCAGCTGTCTTCCCAGGCCCTGTGGGGACCCCCCAGGGCAGTGCCGGGGAGCCCTCTTTGAGAGCAGCCCTGGGCAGACCAGGGCCCAGCGTGGCCTGCGGCTTCTGTGCGGTTGGCTGCCTTTCCTGACCATTAATCTCTACTAAGTGTCATTACCGCTAATAAAATTAACCGACTTTATACTGGACTCCTGGGGCCATCAATCACAGGGTCTATTACATGAAATTAAAGAAAACAGGTGCCTGTGGATGAGGGAAGGGTGTTTGTTGAGCCTGGCTCACAAGTGCAGCCTAGGGCACGCTGCTGCTCCACGGCTGTCAGAAGGTCGTGGTCAGGGGCGGTACCCTAGACAAGTCAACTCCAAGCCCTGACACCGTACCGCAGACAGGAGTGTCTCAAGCAAGAACACAGTTGACCTCAGGAAGACTCTGGGGCCAGGGGCTCAAAAGCTCCCCAAATTCTCCCTCCTACTCTCACCTCTGCTTCTCTCTATGCATTTGATTTGTTCTTTTTCTCTGTTTTTGGACCAGCTTCCTCTTTTTATCTCCTGAGTTAGAGGCCCAGTCACCCAAAGAAAGAAAGAAAGAGAAAGCAAATGTATGCTCTCTTAACTCAAATCCCAAATTCCCAGAGAACGTACTGATTGGCCCAGCTTGGGTCATGTGACCCTCACTAGTCCAATCAACAGGCCAGAGCAGCAAGGTCATGTGTTATAAAAAATGGCCGACATGGTAACCGTATAGATAGAAGGAACAGGTAGGCAGCTAACCCAACATGTTTCTGCAATAGCAGTTTAAAGGGCTTAGTAATAAGCGCTCAAAAAGCAGTAGATAACATAATATAAATTATATATTATATAATATATCTATAATGATATAATAATAGCTATTGTTCTTAAAATGGCATTTGAGACAGGCCTTGAAGGATGTGCAGTCCTGTTGGCCAAAATTCCCATCACTCCTTGCTTGTTCTCTGATCTGTCAAGCAGCTGATACAATTTCTGAAAGCCAGGAACTGTATCAGCAGAAGCTGTCCCTCACACCAGCCCCTGGTGTGGGAGGAGGACATTTAAGGGGCACACAAATGCAGCTCCTGAGCTGCCTTTCACACTGGAAGCCAGTCAGGGCGGGGCCTCCTCAGCTGGAGTTGACATCGGATTCTGCTCTGGACCTGCCAACGGTCAAGCTCGAAGGGTTTCCTGCGAGGCTGTGGGGAGGGGTTTGGATGTAGACCTGGTGGACTGGAAATTTACCCATTTGCCCCCAGATTAATGATTAACAGGTCCCTGCCCTCACCCTGTCTGGGAGGGGAGCCCAGGGCCAGGCTGGGCCAGGAGGAGCCTGATAGCATCTGTCTCTGCTCGGGGGTTTCGGAGATATGTGCCACACTGGGTTGGCTGCACCTGACAGATTTGGAATCTATGGGCACTTTCTGGGGGCACCTGGGGCCTGGCCAGGATGCACACTCTCCCTGGGGCAGACAGAGAGGGTGCGGCATCCAGCCAGATGTCCTGGCTGGGGCAGGTGGCTCCACACAGGAGAGCCATGCCCTTGGCCCCATGGGACATGGGCCTCTCTGGCCACTCAGGACTTGGCCAGGGGGCTTATCTTGGCCAGGGACACATGAGCAGGAGTGACAACTGCCACATCCAAGCAGGAGCTTTGAGAGACGTCGCCTGGTTCCACCTTGTCTCTTTTACCAGCATGTTCCAGAGAGGGGTTGCTTCCTCCAGCCTGGGTCCCAGAATGCCGTATATTCCACACACACTGAGGGCCACCGGGGTACGGGACAGCAAACATTTTGAACTAGGAGAGCATCTTACAGACACTTGTGGGGAGAGGGAAGCTGAGTTCTAATCCTAGCCCCCACCTTGCTGTTGATCTGCCCTATGGCTCGGGCCAGTCGCTGCCTCTTCATAAAACCTTTGTTTCCTCATCTGGGCAAAGAGAAGACTCTGCCCAGGTCAGAGAGTGAAGCATCTTGAAAGAGGAAGGAATTTTGAGAAACTCCAGCTAGCAGGAAGGTGAACCAGCATGTCCCAGGCACTGGTACTTTTCATGTGAGCCTCCCAGAAGCCCCAGGAGGTAGAAAGGATCACTCTCCACTTTCCAGGGGAAAACCAAGCCTTTAAGGTTACACAGCTAGGAAGCAGCATCAGGCTTAGAACCTGGCAGTCTGACTCCAGAATCCATGGACTTTGGGTAGAGTAGAATAAGAAGTCTGGGGCTCGTGGCCTTCAGGTGAATCTCCTTCACCTTCATCCACCCATCTGTCAGTCCGTCCACCCACCTATCCCTTCCTTCCTTCCTTCCTCCCTCCCTCCCTCCCTCTCTCCCTCCCTCTCTCCCTCCCTCCTTCCTTCCTTCCTTCCATCCAACCAGGTATGCCCCAAGCATCTCTTTGTAACAGGCACTGAGTGGCCACATAGTTGAAGATCTACCTGGGAATTTTGGAAGCGAGTTCAGCTGGCATGGGATTATTGGGCAACAGCATAATGTAAAGGAGTGAGGGATATCAGGAACATGGCTGGGGGTCTGCTGTCTACACCCCTCTGCCTGCTCCCTCCTAGGACACGGCTCTCGCCTTGAGGCAGCAGCTGATAGCAAGTGCACTATTTCCCCCAACTTCCCTGATCATCCCAGCTGCCCAGGGAATGTGGTAAACACACAGATCCCCAGGTTCCACTCCGGGCCAATAGAATCAGAATTGCCAAGTATGGATCCTGGGAGTCCATATTTTTAATAAGCACTCCAGATGGTTTTTCTGATTGGGCAGGTTTGGGAAATAGGGTGGGTAAGAAGAGCAGAGACTTCAGCATCTGAAAAACTTGCGTTTGAGATCCTGCACTGGCCCCTGTTACAGGCACCTTGGTTTTCTACTCTGTAAAATGGGGACATAGCCCCATGGGGCTGCCTTCCCTCCCAGAAGGGCAATAAATGAAGCCCCCCAAAAAAGGCCCCCTTCCTCTCACCTGCCCCACGTCCTCAAGGATTGTCATGCTTTGTCTTCCCTGTCACAACCCCCAAGAGTCACTGGTCTCCCTCTCTCGCCCTCTCTAGCCTGACCGGGCGGGAAGTCCTGACACCATTCCCAGGACTGGGCACCGCGGCAGCCCCCGCGCAGGGTGGGGCCCACCTGAAGCAGTGTGACCTGCTGAAGCTGTCCCGCCGGCAGAAGCAGCTCTGTCGACGGGAGCCCGGCCTGGCGGAGACCCTGCAGGAGGCTGCACACCTCAGCCTGCTCGAGTGCCAGTTCCAGTTCCGGCATGAGCGCTGGAACTGCAGCCTGGAGGGGAGGACGGCCCTGCTCAAGAGAGGTAGGGAGGAGGGTGGGGAGGAGGAGGGTGGGGAGGGAAATGGCTGG